AACAGATAAAATTTACTGCAGTTTCTAGACTTCACGGCATCTGAGTATGCGTATTATCAGGGAAATTTAGACACAGGCCACACGTAACAGAAACAAAGATCAAGCAGAAAAAGAAAGAAAGCAAATTTGCCAAGGAGAAAATGAAGAAATATTTGGTCTGCGTGACTCGCACCACTTTTCTGATGAGGGAGATTGATTTTCGTTGAAAGCAGCTCCTCTCGCGCCAGTTGTCCGCGCGCACGCTGCAAGAAGAGCCTAACATCACCAGACCAGAGAGAGATTAGATTGAGTTCCAAAGGCTGATTGCAAGATCTAAGACTGACAACTCGAAGAACTGAAAATTTTCGCTTGATAAACATATATACAAATCGCAAATGCGATAAATTTGTGGCAAATTCTTTGAAAGACCTCCATCAAGCAGTGAACAGAAAAGGCCTGATGATGCTGAACCCAATAGTATTTGGGCACCGCAGCGTTAAATGCTTCTCGCATCAGATACTCCAGGCGTGAAATTATAACACGTTATAAAATTTTTACCTTAAGAACTAAGACGAAGTACAATAGTGCAACTATCTGGCCTGAGTCGAGTTGTGTACCGACCGAGATATGCGCATACCCAATAATTTGATTTTTATACGGTAGCACATAAGGATCACCAGCTCTTGAAATACTAAGGTGAGCTAACGACTGTTCAAGAAATAAAATGTGGGAAATTTTTAGCAGTACACCTGATGAAACACAATGAACTTACCACTTGTTCAAATACCCATGGTTAAACAAGTTGTAATACGCCCGGCTGAGGTAGGAACCCATATTCTTATACTCTGCATATCTACGTTTTGCCAACAATGGAACATAAGCATTTTTTAACAGTTGCCCAGAACAAAGGGACGGGAAAGTAAAAAAAATCACTTGTTATTCCAAAAGAATGGAAACCTTCTGCCATACGCAAAATGACTCCTTTATAATAAGCTTCATTTTACCACTGTCCTTGTCAGTATACTGTAATGTAGATGCTTTAAAGTTACGACAGTTTTATAGGGCGAAGGTGAATACAGAGATCAGCAGTTCAGACGGAGTTCCAAAAATATACGTCTGACCGATCCGAAAGCAGACTCCCTACAACATATATGCTGAATAATATGTTCACAGTGAATGACCCCCTTAATCTTAATTTTGAAAAAATCGATTCTCTTGGAAACCGATAAACTTCGAGCTTCGCAAAGGCATGTTTTACCACTCACTCTGCAGTATTACCTCAGTCCATGAGAAATGCTTGCGTTCCGTACCTCTGAGTCGTAGTCACTGCCCGACGGCGAATTTAAATCTTCATTCATGTCTTCCGCGACCTTAAGTATGATCAAAGAAATTAGGATTTCAACAAGTGATATGCAAATATTTCGCGCATCAATCAGCTGCAACTGCCCATGACTTGAAGACAGTTTCGATCATAAAAGAAAGCCAGCTACGGCTACTAAGCCTGGCAAAATAAATGAACGGCATTTCTCGTCTTTTCTTCTATTAGTTTGCATTATTCAGTCAAGTAATTTACTGACTAGCTTAGTTTAGTTTACTTATAGTTTATTAGTTTACTATACTCACGTATTCAAACATACATGTTAACGCAGAATACTTGGCTATATATTTACTGATAAGATCACGAATGTTCAATTGCTGCATGACGTCAGAACAAGTACACATATGGAGTTCGTCAAGGATGGAATAATATAAACTTTCAATCTGACGAATATAATAAATTAAAACTCTCGCTTTACACTGCGACAAGACGACAAGCGGCTGATCAACATCTTGATTCGTAGTGTGCTGAGAACCCATCCTAAAAAAGAGCGAAAGGCAGGCCGGCAACTTTTTTATGTTGTATAGTATCAGAGACGAACTGTCGGTGCGCAGATGGGCAGCGCCTACCGACAAAATGCGAAAGAATCACGAGAAAATGACTGGCTAGCAATAATATCCGACATTACCCAGGGTAGAATACAATAACGTGGTTACGACAAGTGGGAGGATGCCGCATCCCCGTTGTAACATCCAATAAGTCAAAGTCAGACATTAATCACTAGTTTACAGTTTAATACTTGCACGATTCAACTAGTTCACATTAGTCAGTGAAGTAAACCACTTACCCCTACAGTAATTCGAAGGGCAGCGATGGCGACTGTATCTGATTTATCGTTTGTCTCTTCGCTTTTTTATGCATCATGAAAGTACAGACTACCTCGTATGTCTGTCTCATGTAATAACTGCGCTCCAAAGTATATTATATTCGTGGTATCTCACTGACGGCATATGCTAGGACATATGATGTCGTTTGGACACAGGATATCCTTAAGGTCATAGAGTAAAACAGACGTGACTTATTTCTAACGATTCTAAAATGTCGCTAAGCTGAGTAACCTCACTCGCTAGATTGTCATACTACTACGCCTTTATCGTCAAAAGGCTGATTGGTTGTTCTGAAGAAAACACTTTTATAAAGAACCTCCCCGACTTACACGAACTTTGCTATATACTTATCGTCAGTATATCCGTTTCATTAAAAATTTTTCGTACCACACAGCCAATTGTGTCGAGTTAACAGCTGGTCCTGATCATCAGAAGCATCGACTCAGGTTTTCCATCTATACAGATCACTTTGCTATAACCGGGTCAGTCGAATACAGTATACATCTGCAGATGTGAACAACTGACAGTTCACGCGAGACAGCATCTGTCCTTCAGTATATTGACCTGATTACATGTTGACTCGATGCAGGTAGCCGCTAACTATGGCAAAAGTAAGTACTACAAATCTTAGAGTACATAGAACATCAAAAAACAGATATATCTATGCAAGATATAACTACCGTAAACCTAAATGGTAAGCCGAAGGAAGTAAATAAATCTAGCATTTTCCAAGGTGAAGAACGCCAACTTCAACCTTCATCATTTCAATCAATCAAACTTTATTTGCTCATGCAACGCGCGTTGCTATCTACGTTTGCTTAACGTCCATTCTGGTTTGCGCCGGCAATTTACAAGGTGCTGTACAATGAAAATTATCACTCATGATTTTTTAATCTATTATCGAATTTTAACAGTTGGTGATATTGCGCACCTACGACACTGTGTTATGGTAATCATGATATCTCGAGGACTGCAACACCATTTCGGGGCCAAAAGCATTTTGAAGTCTGTTTATGAAAATTCTTTTCATTCGCTGAACGGATAGTCCAATATAGCACTCATCCGCTTCACACATAGCAGCTTACTATGGTCAGAATTATACCATATGAGGAAACTTTATCATCCTGAAAATAGCAACTGAACTGTACAAAAGATCATACACCCAATTTAATCTTGATGAAGCGTCCTGCCTTAAAGTGTCATCTCTTTCATTCTAAAGGTGGTATTACGCAATAACTCGTATATATCCGAGTGTTGAACGCCGAAAGAAGCATCTTCCAGCATAAGATCAATAAATACTAAATACTGTTGCATTTGTAAGTGTTCACCCATAAAATCAGATGTCAAAACCAACGGATGATGATCTCCATCGTCTGCATAAGCACCGCATTCAGCGACACCCATTCCGTACGATTCGTTGCTGATTAAAAGTGGTTTCCTTTCGGAGACCACTAGCAATCAGATGGTATGTATGTTCATAAAGTATTTTAAGGTTTTAAGGCTTCTTCTGGCCCATCCTGACAGCTCTCAGCGGTTTTCCGCGTGATCTTTTGTTAGCCCTTCATCCGATATCATTTTTCAATCACACGTGGGGTGAAAGAAAAACCGCTTGTGCGACAGAGACATTCATTACTTCGCCTGAGGGAACCCTGTCATCACCGCTGTACCCTCCCATAGATCTGTTATTTTCCTTTGGATTTAAAAAGAAACCAGACATTCAGAGTCCTCCTAATCAACATGGAAAAAAACTGACGTTCCAGTCTATGAACAAATGATTAGAGGGAAAAACAAACGAATATATAAACCGAAATTACATTACCCCGTGGTCATGTCACTGCAATAATCCGAAATGATCAGCTGATGAACCGCAGATTACATCATATGGCATGTAATGTAAGTATAAACTACAGTAAAACCCTATAACGACTTGACAAAATAATGGATGACTCGATCAGACAGAACTGAAAATACGCAGCAGAAGCAGGTAGAAATCTTCATATCTGTAATTAGCAGCTTCCGCAGAAAAAGTTCATAAAAACCGGCATTGAAGATAAATACTGCTTTAATGAAAACATTGATAATAAAAGTCTGAAAAATACTTCTCTAGCATCACTTTGACAAATTTTGAAACTACTGCACAGTATATGAACAATATAGCGTATGATAAGCATTACAAAAGTGTTGACTGTAATAGAAATCAGTTTTGAAACAATAATGATAATTCAAAACAAACTATCGCGAGTGTTCCTGGAATTAAGTTATGGAATAATCTTGAAACAAAATGGTGACTGCTTAAGTCTGAATATTCACATATATTTAGTCATAACTGAACGGACTGATCCTTCTTTTAGGCGGAACTGTACACACTCGGTACTGCCACGCATATGCTGTACTTTAAAATATTTTATTGTCAGGTTCAGTTTAATAAGCCATGCTATTAATAATGTTTCCGTACAAAGGTTGAAAGTAGAGCAGAAACAGCTGTTCCGATGCAGTAAAATAATTTATACTCCGCAGATACCGACCAGTGTGAAGCTGCATAAAACAACAGGAATTGTAATAGTTAGTTTACTTCTATTGTATATGAAATATTTTATGCAGAAACTGATTTATTCAGCCGAATAGATTATAACGGGGTTGGTTTGAATGGTCACGCATTTAAAATTTGCCAAATGTTGAACCATACTCCTGCATTAACGTCATTATATTTTTTTTCCTTTCTACCCTTGCGTGAATTAATAGGCAATCTGGTGGCCCCTATGAAAATTGCAGCCGTTGTTGCGCTTCAGACAAAATGGTAGTTTGTCACACGCTTTTCATGAAAAGGTTATCAAACTTTTGTTCCAAGTTTTCACATTCCAGCGACCAGACATGTGTTTATTAGCTAGTTTCCCTATGTTCGGTTAAGTGCGTTCTTTGGTTCTTCACTCAAGATAAATTAAAATTTTTACGCAGCTTCATTCTGAACTCCGTCAAGTTGAGGTAACGAAAAAAGTGATAAGTCAAAGCGCCGCTGTCTCATTTTATGGTCCCAAAAGTTTTACTATGTCTAAGGTACATAACGGTGGGAACAATTCCGTTTGGACTACAGCAACGATGATTAATTCACAAATTAATCAGACGTGAACGTTACTTCCGGCGTGAATAAATTCAACAGAAAATTCATAGTTTTTAAATGCACACAAATGACTACCCATAAGACTGCTATAATCGGTCCACTGACAACGTTTGTTTCAAGCCGACTCAATAGGCATACAGTAGATTTCTATTCATGCTTAAAAATTAGGAAAAACTCATAATTTCGTCAGTGCAGGTGCGCACAGGAATCATTTTTGTGGCGTTCCTTCTGATTTGTGGAGAAACGCTTACCGACATTTTCCTAGTATTCCTGCGCATATGTTTTCCTTTGAATTCTATGCTAACTTATGCTGGATGCATAGACTGGATTACTTTACCGTTGGATGCATGATTGTTCAAGCGATTAGATGCACGCTTCTGTAGAACCTAATCATTGTCGTCTGGTTCAAGACACCGAAGAAAAAGGTTATCTTCCATGAATGCCATAAATTTGTCCAGCTGACTGCCTTTCATGGTTAACTACTTCGGTGCTGTGAACTCCGCCGTAGCTTAAAGTCAATATACATTTGGAATGAATTGCCTTGTAACGGGCACCAGATCTAAAGCTTTCTGAAAGCAGTGTATAGAGTCATGGTGTATATACAGCAATATACAAGTGGTGCTCAGTTTCTACCTGAGATTTTATGAAATGGAATCGTGCATGTACATATGAAAAATGAGGAACTGATCTGCTGGACTGCGCACCTTAGATTCTGACAAGGCGAAGACAACCTCGAAAAGTTTTAATAACAACATATTTGATGCTTTATATAACAGGAACAAAACAGAGCATAAGGGAGTTTCATGGATAATAGCTGGCATTTGAACACACAGACTACCCAGCTCACTTGGGCCGTGCTCTCCCATTTTTGATACTCTTCAGTCTGATTCATCCATCCCCTAAGCTCTTTAATAATGAACCCTTCTGCCCATATCAAACATTTCACTTAGTCCAACAAATAATAATATAATTCATGTTTTGTCTAATCAATTGGCACATTCATTTGCTAAACAATATAACAATAATAGCGATAAATGTCATCCTCTAATTGAACGGTTTGTTGGCTTTTCTTTATATAACAGGCAGTATAGAACAGAATACAAAGATTCCACTGAGACTGCGTCTTCTTCGTCCGCCTGTTATGGTTTCCGAACATACCATCAAAATGAATTAACTATACTAAGATACATCATAAACTAAATAGAAGCAAAATATTGAAAGAAATAAAATTCAAACAAAAAATGCGAAACAGAAACCTTTTTGCATGAACAAAAACTAACAAAAACAAGAGCAAAGCTACTCTTGAGTTTTCAAATCATTATAGTATCGCTTCTTAAGCTGCAACAAGTAACGAAAAAGATCTTCAACGTTCATCTCCGAAAATCGAGATGCTTGAAGCAAACGATGACCGAGACGCAAAACTGCCCTCTGTCTATTTCTTTCAGCATTGTCCCTAACCAATTTCTGAAGAAGATAAATTGAAACATTTAATTCAGCCTCGTAAATAAGAGGGAAAAACCTTTCTCTTCTCGCACAACTGCACGAGCAAATGTTTGGCTCCAGTGATGACTTCTGAAGGAAAGGGCGCCATTTCAGCAAGTTCGAGACCTAGATTTAACGTTTATTGGCAAAGACAGAAAATTGGTAAAAGTAAGTGGCCGAAACATGCTAGCAGCTAAAATCTCAACAAAAATCATCCCGCGGAAAGAAGAGAATAGGAAAGGAAGAAACAGTAAAATTAGAGGTATTCCAACAATTATTCTTGTCATACTGAATGATTAACTATCACATATTCCATTCAGAGAGGACAAAGTCTCGGATTCGATCTTTCGAATACTACTCTATCAGATAAACTCTAAGGTGCGAGAATTACCATATACTCTGCTCATCGGCATCATCCCGGTGAGATGTATTCTACTGTGGGTTACACGTGACGACACATGCCGTTCAGAATTAAAGCATGAAACCTTCACCATAAGTTTACTGTTTCGCCCAGCGACCCGGAAAGAATACAGAATATTACTGTCAGATTCCTCCAATACTATATAATGCAGTACGAATAAGGCTGTTCTAAGTATACCAAAATCGTAGAAACGCCAGGTCGTACCATAAAATGGCCCCTGGTAAGGCCCTCTCTTCAGTATATGGTTCAAGCAAATTCTGCTATCGTCTGGGTCAAAAAACCGTTCGAAGTGGTAGCTAAAATTTAAAAATGAAAACATTTTCTATAAAACGTGCTACGTACTTTTCCACAGTAGGATACAGGGTATCCAAATGAGCCAGATCCAAATAATGAGTAGCCAGGAATACGAACGCCTAAAGAGATTAAACCGAAAAATTTAATAGCCCTGTTCAAAGTGAACACGAAAATAAAAGGCATATGCTAACACTAAAAGCCAAAGCATGCAGTTAATGACATAAGCGATTTGTGCACAAAACTAGATAACGACAAGAAAGTTATGACCAGACGGTGAATCACATATTTTTGATTTTTTATAAATGTGAAAAACAAAGAATTACCTGTTTCAGTTTTGTTATATACCTACCTTACTATCTCTTGATGCTCTTCTTATAATGATTAACTAAGTTTGACATAATTGGAACGACAGAATGACCTAGAATGATGTACGACCTTAGAAGATGACTCTTTGAATTCTGTCAAGCCACAATCGCTTCTGTTTAAAACTCATACTCATCATCAGAAGTAAATCTGTGTCAAAGGTAGGTCTGTGTTGTATACTGACCTAAAAAACGACTGAGGCCATTTCTTAGGGAAACTGTGATAGGATAAAAACCATGTCTTCAGTCAAACGTATAACGATCACCAAATAATGATTGTGCCACCTAATAATGGATAAGATGCCCATGTCTGGCGTAAAATCATGGCAGAGGTGAAAAAAGGTGTACTCTATGAGAATAGAATCCAGTGCATCCATATCTTAGCTTGTTTTAATTCAATAGAAGGCTATCACGTTCGGTCATTTCGATAAAGCGAATGAAACAGGTATATGAAGGTATCAATGTACGAATGATGGAACCGATCATTAGTTCTGCAGCCAATAACGAATGAGCGTTACGCGAGCTAATTATGAACGCAAAATCTATCGATGCACTGATACAAAGTTAAATACATCATGAAGCCATAATCTTTTTAGGTATACCTTAAAATCATAGGAGCGAAAAAGAGTTGACATATTCTGTAGAGCGATGGCGTAAATTTATGCAGCACACTGCAAAGATTTTGTTTATAACTCAAACCATATTTAAATTTATGAATATTTAATCATTAGTACGTAAATTGGCGATAATGCATTCCATAATATTACATTAGTAAATAACTCCGTAAGACGTCAAATTGTACTCGTACGCTGACGCATATTAAACAAAGAACAACTCCTCTAAGACCAAATGTCCTGGTTTGTTGCACCGTTATCTTGCTAATAACTGCATAGGCGGGCTATTTAAGCAAATCAGGTTTCAAGGTAGTTGAGCACTCGCGTCATTTTGTTAACTGGAGCGACCTTGCATTCATCATGAACGATTTTTCAGGAACAAGCACTAAACATGTGCTATACCATTAGCATCAAAATATCATCTTATGCCGGATAAAATCCGCGAATAAACCATTCTAATAACACTATACCTTTGATTCGATCAGCTCCTCAGAGATCGCATAGCAAATTCCCATGCCCTCTTCGACGGATGTATCTAAAAATGATGCATATTTAAAAACAGGTCATTCCTTGCAAATCAAAGAGAAAAATGTCAAATCACTCTATGTTTGATAGCGAACTGGTTAATCAGTCAATCAGTTCCGATGATTACTCATCCATTCGGATCACAGAGGCAGCAGCGTCATATTATCTCTCGAACATACCTGCTCCTGTGCCAAAGTTTGAGTTTCGATAAAAGGTATTGTGAATCCGCCGAGACACCTGTTCCAGATCATTCTGAATCATCCCCTGGGTTTTCAGCCGGTCGGTTAAATAAGTTACAGCTGTTTCGCCTTCCTTTCTGGAAACATTCACAAAACGTGCCGAAACCATTGCAGCGGCGACTTCTCAGTCTGAAGAAACAAGGTGCCCATATACCAAAACTTTCTCAAATATCTAAAGTCCAGACTTTGTCCAGAGCAAATGGCCTAGTTTAAAAAATTAAATCTGTCTGTCCGTCAAAGTTGGATCAAATTTAAATATAGTTACTTTTGTGTCGCTGAAAATCTACAAGCATCAAGCTGCTTCAGCTTCACTAAAGCAGCAAAAATGAAAATAATTCATTCAATAAGTCTCTGTAAACCTGAGGATAACCCACTACCTGGCTGCGGTAGAACCTGGCTTAATTACTGCAGGAGTTTTCACTGTTTACGATTGCTCGCTTACTTCTTCCAAGTTCATCGATGATGACCAACGAGGAGGAGGTGACGTTTTTCAAAATGTAGTTCATGTCTTTCATCTTAAACGTGAAAATATAACAAGATTAGAGCTAAACAAATTACACTAGCTTCAAGAGACCTCAACGACGAAAGAAGAACAGTTTGCTTCCGGGTTGTCGTTGTGTTCGATGCGTGAGAACAGTTGGTCACAAAGTCGAAACGACGCATAATTGGCCGGAACAAAGGAACCAATTTGAGTCATGACCTGCAGGACGGCGATCATCTTCAAGTAAGTTGACTTTCCACCCTGTGATAAAAACAAAAACGCTTTGGAGTTAAGTCGCGAACACTTTTACAACTTGACGGACCATATTTGGACCGGTGACGATGATGAAGTTAGAATCTGGGCCGGCATACTAAAAAAGAACAAATGCGTTTCAACATAGAAACCACTCGAGCTTCGTTTTCTAACGTAAAGCTCGTACCACGTCATTCGGCACGAAGACGTGATTCGTAAAGCGTTCCATGATCGGATGCCTACCCTGCTGGATGGCGATGCTGTCGGTGAACTCAGGACGAACTGAAACCAACTAAATCAAATGGCACCGAACCACAAACAGTAAGTTGCTACTCCACAGAAAGCGCTGACTGACGGTCACCAGTGATAACAACATGTCCAGCGAAGAAATGACCTCGGTAAGATTGTAGAGGCACGTGATCGAATCTCGAATCGTTGCCAGCAGGTCGGTGACAATTCTTGAAAAAAATTCAACTGTAAAAGTTTCGCGTAACATTATGGTTGTGATAACTAACATATTGCTCATTGACAAGATCTCCGAAACGACCTCGTTAATGCGATCTGCAACACAACGGTTTATGAACTATGCATATCATTTAAAGAAGTGCCATGCGAAGCAGGGCGCATCACACCTACCGTTGAGTTTAATCTGAAACGTATGTTTGACTTGAAAAATAAAAATAAAAACAAAGCGCATTAATGAATGACCAAGTCTCTTGTCGTACAAGTCACCACAGTACCGCGCTGAACAACGTTCATGAGAATGGCTGGAAATTCCTGAATGTCTTGCACCTCTCGCAGATTCAGCTGCAGGTAGAAACCGCGGCCAGAAGAATAGCCACATCTGAGTGGAAGATTGTAATCAGACACGATATCCAAAGTCAATTCTAAAGTGGTGTGAACATGAGCTAAGTGGAAATCGCATGTATAATCAGCATACCTTGCACATCGTTCACCAATTCACTGTAGGTCCGTCTTGAAATATCCAACAAGCCATTGAGGTTCGACTGAAAAACGAGCGAGAAAACATCGATAAAAAACAGTTGATATCGGCAATGACAATTTGCATACTTTCACCGCGAAACACTTTTGATTTCTCATTTTCAGTGCACCCTTCTGGTAGGTGATCTCATCGTTTAACGTCGCCGAGATCTGGTTCGATATTGACTGGAAGCGGTCATCGTGAAGTAACTAGAAAAAACAAAAATAAAAAACAAACATAAAGGATAGTTCATAAGTACAGATATTTAGTAAAAGTAGTTGAGTCATCAAAAGCAGTTTTATCTTCAACATTCCGGCCTCATAAACAGACATTTTAGATGGGACATGACATTTTATCTTCTTCTTGTATTCCTAACGTGTTCCTTTTGACGGAGGCTCGTTGTTCGAGTCATCTGCTTTGAAAATTTATAGCCTTTAATCAACATTTCAACCTCTCGCCGCAGTTTCGTCATTCTTTATAATATCGCGCCACATTTTCCCTGGTGCTTCCCTTCTTTTCTTTTCTGAAAGCATCAGTATTTGGACCATATTTTCCAACTAATTCGTCATATTTTCTTTCAAAGAGGCGAAATCAATGAAGCCTTCTCTCTGAAGCTGAAACTTCTGAAACTGATTCTACATCTATAGTAGAATGGATAGCATTATGGTCATGTCGGGTATCCAACAGATCGATAATCTACTACGCCAGCAACCGCAGTTCCTTCGCGCAACGGTCCAAATGACAAATGAACACCGACGAGTGATGAAGCATCTGCCTTGAACTATCGATAACTTCAGAAATTAACACTTCTTTGGGAGGAAGACTTGACGGTTCTTGACTTTTATTTTAAGTGAACATTCTCTAATGAAGTCATACAACTTTACAGCACACACCAGAGCAATTCCCCAAAAACATTGAGTGAAAATTCGATAGATACATCCAAAACCTTAAGGCAACCATGAAAACTGCCAATAAAACAGAAGATCCTCGATGGAGTCTAACTTTGCAATCCAAAGATTAATCGGACATTTACCTCTCGCAAACTGATGAGCATTTCCGAATTGTAACGATCTAACGCATATTTCAAAGGCTCTACCAATTCAAGCGTATGTTTCAGATAGATGACCTGCGTAATTTTATAGTCAGCAGCACGTTCGGTTTCTTCTTTGTTCAAATGAGCACACAGCGATACCAGCTGGTCGACGTCTAGCATTCTGCTTATAAGAGACCTTAGGATCGTGAATCCCTAAAAGCATCAGCTAGACTACAAAACCAAAGGGAAACAGAAAAAATAGTAAAAGACGTGAGATGACGATTACGTCTGAGCAACCGCTGATCTCTTCGATGGCATCGTGCCGTTTTCTTATCAATTCAATATCAGCCGATGGTTGCAAAATGGATGAACGCAGCATTCTGGCACCGCCAGTGGTGCACGTAAAGTTCAAAACGCCAAACAAGCTTGTCTCGGTATTCTTCTCTCCATACTGGCTGATGATCAGCTCCAGACTTTTCGCCGTACTTGGATCTTAAATGTCTCGATGTTTCAGCTATAGGACGACAAAATGTCAAAATGCTCAATATGGCTTTAGTATCTTAAGCATGCTGAAGCTGTCATCCTTTAACATAAAATTAATACATCAAAGCCAACTTCATAGTATGAATGTGTGTTTTATGTGTATTTAATATGTGCCATCGTTACCGTATGTACTGAAACTAACTTATGCTAGTTAGCTCAAAATACGAACAACATTTTTTACTATAACTGTTAAGAATCAATTTATTTCAACTTAAATTTTAATTGTCCTCTTTTAACTGAAATGTAATCGCAGCGAAATTTCTACAGTAACAGACTGCGTGGTGTATTGCACTGCCTATTGTTCACAATTACTTTCAGACTAGCCACTTAAATAAGCTATAGCTCCATTGAATCTATAGCGCCAATCTATGCAACTCGCATCATATGATATCATTCATTAAACTGCAGTTGGCGTTCAAACATATTACTGTTCATCTCAACACGGCGACGTACTATGACATCTAAGCACTGTAAGTGCCATAATACAGTGATACTCTCCCGCGGTTCCATAACAAAGGATTTATTTTAGTAGATACACACTTAGTAGTCAATATGTCTTGCTTGTCAATAGACAGCGACCTTGGCTGTAACAGTGCTCGTCATTGTTAAGTAACGAATACGTCTGTAAGATCTAATGGTTCCTTCCTGGTTGTGCGCCAACCGGCAAACCTGATATTAGGTACAGGTGATTTCTTCCTTGTCGCAGTCAGTAGTCCAACCAGATGCTAAGCGTAGATGGTTCCTTTATGGTCGTGCATCGTGGGCAAATCAGTTTCGATGGCTAAGGCTATTTCATCCTAGACGGGTCCTTATTCCCATAAACAACCTTGCAATGCAAAAGCGCGAGAACACCAAACGAATCTGTGATTTTTCTCAGCCCAACTTATCCGCAGGTCAATAGGTTTCTAAACTTGTAGAAGCAACGGGATGGAGCGAGAACCCGCCCAGCCAATGCAGGAAAGCTGCCTGTATAATATTTAGTTAAACTGGGGCATCACACGCTAAATTTGTTGCTAAACCCAGAATGATTTAGGTATTAAAAAAATAATTGCCGTTATTATGGAATTGTTAGCAAACAGCTGTTTAGTGCCCATGTACTGCAAATGCTA